GCTCTGTGGTGCCACCAGCGGGCAGGCCGGGCACCCGTTCCCGGCTGTCCCCCTCCGGTCACGCACCTGGTCTGTCCCTCTCCCCGGGACAGTCACGCAGACAGCCCCTTCCTCCCTTACGTGTGCCCCTACCGCCGCCACGCACCCGCGTCCCCTCTCAAACGTCCACCTGTGTCGCCTCGCAAGCACCTACCGCGTCCCCTCACGAACACTTACCCGCGTCCCCTCACAAACACCCACTGCTTCCCTTTACAAACACCTACCGCGTCCCCTCACAAACACCCATCCGCGTCCCCTCACGAACACCTCCCGTGTCTCCTCACAAACACCCACTGTGTCCCTTCACAAACACTCACCCGCATCCCCTCACAAACACCCATCCGCGTCCCCTCACGAACACCTCCCGTGTCTCCTCACAAACACCCACTGTGTCCCTTCACAAACACTCACCTGCATCCCCTCACAAACACCCATCTGCGTCCCCTCACGAACACCTACCGTGTCTCCTCACAAACACCCACTGCGTCCCCTCACAAACACCCACCACATCCCCTCACAAACACCCACCACATCCCTTCACAACACCCACCGCGTCCCCTCACAAACACCCTCACAAACACTCACTGCATGCTGTTCACACACACTCACCCGTGTGCCCCCTCACAAACACCCACCGCGTCCCCACACAACAGACACCAGCGGTCTCGTGTTCCCAGGGTCTCAGCCTTCCTGCCAGCAGGGTAGACACGTCCCCTAAAGTGATCAGCACGCATTTGTGCACGTCAGACAACTTCCGTAAAACCAGATAAGGGCAGTTATTCTTATCCCAGTCTGGGAGCCTGGGACCCGACCTCCCGCTGCAACCCCGCGGGCAGCTCCCAGTTCGATGGTGGGGCTGGGTTTCAACACCAGCCCGCCGGCTCTGGGAGTGCGGCTACCTGTGGACTACGCTGAGACTCACCGGCAGCACCCAAAAACGGCACAGAGCGCTAGATCTCCGGGTGTCCTACTCGCTGAAGGAGAGCAGACAGAGCACAGGGCTAAATGTGGGCTGCATACGGAAAAGGCGGACCCGGAGAAGACTCAGTGGGGATCTGGGAGAACATAAACTTAGCATTATCTCCAAAAAAGTGACTCAAGGCGTATCTACACAGCGTGCCGCTTCTCAGACTCAGATGTTTATACCGCACAGTGTAAACACCCCCCTCAGGCACTTGAACCGGCTCCCACATCCCAGGGCGACGCTCTGACCGCTTGCCAAACCAGAAAACGGTGCCGTCTCTCCTCTGCGCTCTAAGGACATGGGTGGGAGCATCCGTGCGACTGGGCCTCGTGGAGGGGGTCGGAGAGCTTCGCTAGGGGTGAAGAAGCCTCCGTGCTTTGAGCATCGGGCTGTGGGTGCTGTGAACGTGTGGCAGGAAACTCACAGCTTCTGTACTCTTTAGGAACAAAAATGGGCCTTACAAACTCTCAGCGCTTCCTACCTTAGGTACTCTAGGTGGATTTTGCCTGTAGACACAAGCACACCAAACCAAATTTGCCATTAAAAAGGGGCTAATGAGATGTTTACAGTTAAGCAGGTGCTAGTGCATTTGCAGCACTGGACCCTTACAATGGCCACTTCTTTTGCCTATTAGGATTCCGTTTTTTAAAGAAGCAACATGACAGCGACTGCAATTGTTTGCAGTTTACACCAGGAATCCAACCGATGTCTGACGACATGACCTGAAATGTGGGCACTAAATAACAAGTGGATTTTCAAAATGTCTTACAGAACATCGTGCAGTTGCTAAGTCTTTTTATATGGCTGTTTCATAAGATCCATTTTTTTGCATGCTGTTCTAAGTAGGACATAAACACTTGTGTTATAGTATTTGTAGCATTTAATAATAATAATAACAATAGGATAGGAAACATAAGACTGTTTTCTGTAGGCTTTCACTTAAAAAGCTATTAAAACAATGTAGTGCAGTATAACAGTCCCCTTAAAATCCCACAGATATCCTCGGTGTATTGTGATACTCAATACAGGTCATATTTTGATTATTTGGCAGGATCATCCTATCATCTGCAGAAAAAATGATTTGGGATAAAAAGGAATTAAAATCCTTCTTGCTGGCAAGCTCATCAAAGAAGCCATGGGATAAATGGGCATGGAAACTTAGCGAGGCTTTCTCCAGAGGGTTTTCCAGAACCCAGGATTTGAATTAAAAAATAAATGGTATTTTTTCATTCTTTCCTTGACAAAACAGCTGTAGGATGTAAATTGTCCCACTGAGTCAGCACAGGATGAAGCAGAAAGAAGCCAGCCTCCATAGCTATCTTAGTGGGTTGCTAACTTCAAAGCTGGATTCAGAGGTTTGCACGTTGCTGCTGTTAACGCTTTAATGCTAGGGAGCTTTCATCTACATTTGACAAGCAAACTAGTTCACAGTGAATGAATATAGCAGGCATATTGCTATGTTTCAAGGAATCTGCCACTAAAACAGATGGGCCTCATGTCAGCATCATTTCCACCAACGGCAGTAACGGGGTGCAACCGGAGCAACCTTCTCTCCATGACCTTTTCCTGCCCTGAGGGAATCACCATATTGTGGAGAAAGAGGGAGACAGAGCTCTGTTTTGATCGAAGATGCTAGTAATTCATAGCACGGTGATGTTATTTTGGCAAAAGGCTTGACTTGTCGCATTGCTGCTGCACAGTAGCTCCAAGTTCTGGGCTGAGGCATGTTTGAATCTTAACTGTTGCAATCCCCCCTCAAGATAAATATTTAGGAGTTTTGCAGTGCAGTTTTGCACCTACAACAGCATTATGGCACAAATGTAAAGCATTCTTTTGAATATCCAACACCTAACCCTCTCATTTGACTCCTGGACTAAAAGCTCTACCATAAAGTAAGCACGGAACAGCATGGATATATGTTTGAACAGTCAAAGGGTTGCCAGAATAAGGAGCTGATAGGGAGGGGACCAAACCTGCAAGCCTTTATTCCAACATGGTGAGGGGAATATAGTTACCGAAGTCACTGCGAGTTTTCTACATTCAAGAACTGCAGGATTTGGTCTAAGCATCTGAAATGAGACAGCATTTAAACTGCCTATGTGGGCTGGGTGTTAAAATTTTGCAAAATCATGGCCCAAAACCAAGCAAAGATAAACAGGTCATGAATATATTTAGGCTGGGAATCAGAGGAACAGTGTTCCAGTTGGAGGAACTGCTAGTATTAAGATGAAGTGTGAGAAATTTCTGTACAAGTTTTTCCACTTAAAAGTGTAGTGTGGACCTGGTGATCCAACAGGCCTTTTCTAGTTCAGCATTGTTATATATATCACACTCAGGTATCTTTTCTTGCCAGCTCCTCTCTTCTTTTGCCATCTGTCTCAGGAAAGGGGAGATGGAAAGAAAAATGCTGCTTTTGTCCCAAAGCCCAAACACGCAGGAGCTTGGTAAAAAACCTGAAATATTTCTCTCAGCCGTTGTGGAAATATCCTCTGGTTTCCTGTGGGTACAACAACACTCCTTGCATCCATAAATCTCAGCCATCAGCACTTCTGTCATTGGAGCCTGCAGAGCAGTCCCAGCTGAGGCTGTTAGCACAGGTGACCGTTTCCCAGCCTTCCCACTTGCACCAAACCCATATGATAGATCATATATGAGAAGCACAGTCTTTTCCCACTCGCACCAAACCCATGTGTTAGAGATAGATCATATATGAGAAGCACAGTCTCTGGAAGCTCTCTGTGCTTCTTGAAAGAAATTTTCTCCTTAAATTGGCATGCCCAGGATGACCATCATACTTTGGAGCAAATCTTCACAATCACCACATCCATCTGTTGCACCTAAAGGCCACCACTTTTGGGGCTATGCATTTTCCTGAGCATGTCTATGTGCTCCTACTTAGTATGTCTCAGCAATTTGCCGGGGGGGTATCATTCCCTACGTGTGTTACATATTTCATAAATGTTCCTAACTGCATTTCACATGCATTTTGGAGCACTTCCTCTGCTCTCGTCTTGCACATCCATCTTCCTTGACCGTCCTCCTGCATCCCAGACCTACAGGCCAGGTTTGACTCAAGACGTTGGCCTCACTGGTACATTAGCCGCGTGACCTACAACGTTTTCAATCTGACTACAGTCAGTTCCAGTTGAGAGTCCTGGTTTCTCTTGACACCTATCGGAGCAGAATGGACATTTTCCCTGGATTCCTAATAGATGTGCATTCACCCGTGCCGAGTTATGTAATCCTCTTCTGTCACAGCAGATTTCCAGTTAAAGCATAATAACATGCTGAGACCCGGGAGGAAAATGTTACCAACAGACCTCTGTGCTGATAACTGTGTGCCTTGGAAAATGACTCAGGCTTTCCTGCATGACATTAAGTATTTAAAAATTACTGGACTGATTGATTTAATCGTATAGCTCTACACTAGGGAGGGCTGTGTGCTCACTTCATGAAAAATGTATGTGATGTTTACATGAGGATTTGTGAATGAATGACTCAAACCATCTCTTCTGAACCACATGGCACAGAAGCTGCAGTACATGGCATTATTACAGACCAATAATGCACATGGGATTATCTTTTAAGACTGTGTTTTCTGAAGAAGTCCCACAGGGTTGGTGATGAGTGCAGCACGTTTGGTAAAAGCAGGATGTGCAGCACAGCCCTGATGGAGCTAGGAATTCTGGAAGGGTGGATGACAGTGTTCAACGGAGAGTGCCAACTGTGATGCCCAAGGGACACAGGAGGATCACGCACTTACTTTGGCTCAAAAATTCCTGCAAGAAACTTTGCACCAGATGAAGGATGGCATCACAGGAACTCCTAAATTCTCTTCCTTCTGAGAACCATCACTGTATGCTGCTCTCAATCACCAGACCTGCTAAACCTATCCGTTATCTCACAGTCTCTCACAATTCATCTATAATCCTTTCAAAGGTTTAAGATCTTGGCCTTGTGCTTTGTTATGAACACACTTGAGTCCTCCCTGTTAAATGTCCCACAGCCCCCTCTGATCTAACTGTGCACTGCAGGACTGCGTGTAAAGGCTGTCTAGATGTGCCGCTGCCTTTTTCACACGTACAGGCTACATCTGCCCTTGGGAAGGACCTATACAAAACGTCCATCCTACTTAAATCCCCCAAATGGGACGTAAGCAACACTTCGGTAATGCCTGGAATGAGCTTTTCTGCGGTGAACCGATGAGTGAAGTTGTGTTTCCAAACACGTCACTATAAATGGGCATTACTTACTGATCAGATCTCATTTAAAAGGATTTCACTACAGAGAAGGTGGTGATCAGCCTCATGAAAAGGGCGTAGGTTGAGACACTAGGGGAATGCAACAGAGCTTTGTTAAACAACTGATGCTATAGAAAGCTTCCCTGAGTGGAGCAGTAACACCTTCAAATTAACACTAAAATTTCAACACTGAGAAGGTTAAAATCATATGGCTAGATTAGCACTCTCATAAACATATCCTCTTCATAGTACTTACAGCTATAGAGGGAATAACACTGCAGAAGACTGTAAGGCAAAGGAGAGAATCTGATATGCACGTCTCTTTTTTATTTTTTTTATTTTTTTATTTTTTTATTTTTGCCGCTTTAGTTCCTGCCTTTCTGTCAGCTGGGTCACCAACACAGTTCCCTTTTGCTTCTAGCTAGTTTGGCTTCCTGGTTTCCTGCTAGAGCACAGCAACGCCTCAGTTACAAGTGCAACAGAGGAACCTTTGTGTGGTGGCAATTTTTTTCCAGGATGGAGATTTATATCAATGTCTGAATTTGCACAAATTTACTTCTTACAAAATTTTACAGATAAAGTCTAGAGAGTAGCTGGAAACAGTTTACTGCTGAGTGCATTGGGAATCTCATGCACAGCAAAAACTAAGGGCATTTGGTATACATTCCCAAGGTTCGCAAGCTGAGAGCGATGATACATACCATAAGAACGATTCAACATATACAAATGCTTAAGAATCAGCAAGCAAAGACTTGGGATGGTCTGTTATTGGGACTGTATTGCATCACAATGAGGGAGCCAGCCATTGCTATTTTTGATGGGAATAAAAGTAAGCAGGCCCCTAAATACTTGCACAGTCGCTCTTTCCAATTTGTGGAAGTTCAGATCCAGTTTCTGAGCTGGCAGAAACCAAGCTGTACTCTGAACCCATTCCTCTGGGAAACCAGTTCATCGTCCCAGTCATCCTACCTACGTTCCTTCAGTGACGACATCAGAGCTATAATTTGTCTAAACAAAATAAACAAGAGCTGCCAGTCTTCCAGCAGGACTGATCTTTTCATGGGACACCTTGTATTCTGCTTTAGTGCTCTACAGACTTATACACTATATAAGGGTGATTTTAGTGGCTTTGTGGGGAAGATCATTGTGTAAAACGGTCCTTCTTGTGCTGAACAGAAATGTGGCACAAAAAAAAAAAAAAAGGTTTGCCCTCCAAAGAGCATAGATCACTTGGTCTTGTACACAGATGCCCTTCTAAGTCATTAGCGAAACTCCACTGAAGTAATCAAAAGGGTGCCATGCTCCCCAGTGAAGCAGGATTAACCCATCAGACTAAACATTGCCCAGTGCCCTTCTGCAAATGCAGAACTGAACCTGCACATGGAAAGCCACTGTGAAGCTCAGCGCTTCCTTGCATATCTCAGATGGTTTCCTTATAGCAGAACAGTTCCAATCTCAGCCTGTCTGCACAAGTAATACCACCAAATCAATACATGCATTTACCTGTCAAGAATTACGTTAACAAAAGATGGGCAGGCATAAATTTTGAGAATTAATGAACTTCAGCAATTATCCACGTTTCTGCAGCTAATGCAGAGTGTGGTGGGAGCAATAACAGCATGTTATGGGCTGCATATGAGCAGAGTTTATGGGGCTGGATAAAGTGCAGTGTATGAACTTATACGTCACTTTGGCAACTTGCTCAGAGAAGCATTTTGCTCAGATCTTACAAAACTATTTTTTGTTTTTATAGTTACGGGATTGTCCTAACTGTGAAATCTGTATCCCTGCCAGGCCCCTCAAACACACACTGCACGGAGATACTGGGGCATTGGCTGATGATGCCAGTTGGAACAAGGCAAGAAGTAACATAAAAGATGATAAAAGAAAAGCCCAGTAAATGAAGGTGAATTTTGTGGTAGTCTTGTGCAATAAGAGGGGGGAAAAAAAAGAAATTGAAGACTTTGTTATTGTTGGCAGGAGTTGTGCACATTTTGCTTATCAAGGGATGATCGCAGGGAGGGGATTCTTTTATAGCTGCATAAAAGTTCCATGCCTCCTTAAATTCCTCGGATCTCAGGCTGTCTCCCTGCAGTCTGAGGGGCCTCTCTACAGGATTATATTTGCATTTTCTCTACTTGATTGAATCTTTTTTAGAAGACAGACTTACGCAGCTCCCCATGCATGTTCACTGCTGCTCTGGGTATTACTGCCCCCTGCAAGTCAGCCCGAGCAAGGGATAGATGTAGTGCTGAGTGCCCGGGACCAAAAGGGGAAGGAATCCGAGTTGTGGCCCCGTTCCAGTTTCCAGGGCTATGATCCGAGGAGCACTTTTAAGCTGGGATGAATCAGCGCTGCAGCCATCCCTTTGCCGGTGCCCTGGCTGCTCAGCCCTTCCTCGTACCAGCACAGCTCTTGTGCGCCGTGTCCAGATCAGAGCACTGCTGGGGCTGCAAAATAAAGGATCTTGCTGACCTCCTACTCAAGGCATTAAACCTTTCAACAGGGTCTGGGGGAGCCCAGCAGGGCAGTTCCCCCCTGTCCTTCGGATTAGGCTGGAGTTGAGCCCAGAGCTTGAACCTGAGCAACCTGAGGAGCCTGGTACTCTGGACCTGAATCTTAAATCAGCCCCTTTAGTGCACCTGATCCTGGGCATCGAGCGTGGTGCGTGCCCCAGCCTGGCTCGCGGGCTGGTCCCCGGGAGACGGGGCTGGGCC